TTGTTTTAGACGTTACCTAGATATATCAGTTGATAGGTAAAGAGTAGACTCATAATACTACCTGATTGTAACTACCTGCTAAGAGTCTTAGGGGTCATTCGCAATTATCAAGATATACACAGTTCCACAAACAGTATGCTAAGGGGAGAGGGTGGAGAAATTTGTACATTTTACATAGGCATGAAAATGTTGATTCATAACATGGAAAATATAAAATAAGATTTTTATGACCAATTATAATGCAACCATGGATATGATCAATTTTAAGTAACAAAGTTGTATAGTACTTTAGTTGACTTCACAAAAAACTGGAGAATGTTTTTTGCAAAACCAATATTTTATATGTACAGTTTCAGAAGAGAGGAAGGGGGTAAGGAAAAGAGTACTGTTTGTACACTTGCAAAAATATTGATAATTGTGACAATTAAATACCTAGCTATATAAGCAGTTATTATGTAGACAGTCTTAATGCTATTAGCCTGCTGATATTAGATGCATCAGTCCACAATAAAGAGGCATTATATGGTGACCTAGGACAGGCCCCCTTATCACAAATACATGAAGTGGCCAGAGCTATGCTATTTAACTGTTTTATTAAAATTGATGCTTATAGGTGACCTAATATTGTTCTTAAGTCTATGCTTAAACTTAAATATGATTTTAATTTGAAATACAGATTCGTTAATACTACATGTGTAGATATTTTTTTGGATAAACTAATTTATCCCTTGATTGTAAAACTTATAAATGGCGTCGCAGCGTGTTAGTACCCTTTTTTGACAGTGGAGAAATTGAATATTTAAAACATTTCTTATTAAACTGAACAGCATTTCTTAATCAAATAAATTAATCCATTCCTAGGTGTCCTTTCTTCGAGAGTGTTGACTTGTGCTCTGGGGTGGATCTCGCCCGGGTGGTGTTTTTGGTGCAACTGTGCCAGTGGTATGCAGGCGTCTGTGCCCTCGGTTGGTTTGATATTAGTTTAAATTTCATTAGTTTGTTTTTGAATATTTGCTGTCTTCCTTTTTTTTTTTTTTTTTAATTGGAAATTTTAATGTTTGTGCATATTAATTAATACCAAAATTTTTAAATAAGAATTGTAACTAAATAAAATAATAATAATACCAATAAAAGTTCTGTATTCTGTAAATTGCACCACAACAAGGTATATTTGCAAATTCACTGAACAAGAGTTTCATAATGGCATCACTTGTATACCATTCATATAGGACAATTTATCCATTTTCAAGGAACTGCCCAATGCGTTTGGATACCGTTTCACTTATATACAGTAATATAGGCAATACCTGTACAGTATTATTATAATAATAATAGGCAGCTTTAAAAACTCACTCTTTTAATGTGTATTTTCTTAAATTTTTTCTCCTGGCATTTTCATTTTTATTGTTAATAAGAGCATTGAGGCTTTTAGCATAATGCGCTACAGTATACAAGCCAAAGTTATTATTATTGCTATATTATTATTATTTTTATTATTATTATTATTATTAAAGAAAAACAAAAGTTTCAACAGTCATTTTGATATAGACATTTTATTACTATTTTGTGTAACTTGCACATACATGATGCAACACTCTGACAACATTGTGAGTAACGTAGAATAACATAGTATAATTAATGTCAAAACTGAGCATTTGCAGAACTACTCTGCTGCTTGTATATTACTTTAAACAGGCATAAATGAATATTGTCCTGGAATAACAAGTAACAGTACAATATTTATTGTGACTATATTTTTATGAGAATTTAAATCAAATTGTACCGTGTATTTTAGTTATAATATAGATGGCTTAATATTTCAATGTCATTTAATAGTTAAAACTTTTAACATTGTTTGCATTGTGGTTTGCTACTGCTACTCTTCTTGGTCTATTGGAGATCACAGTGATTCCATACGGGATATCTAATCCATCATCTTCATGATCTATTCGTTTAATAAAGACACCATTTTTATCAAATAATTGTACTTTATGATTACTTGACACTATTATATTTTCATCCATATCTATGGTTACACCACAAGGACCCCAAACTTTACCATCTTCCTCACCACAGCCTACAAGGATTCGCATAAACTTATCATTTGCATCAAACATTTGTATTCTATGATTGGTTAAGTCAGCAATGATCATATGACCTTCCTTGGTTAAAGTAACATCATATGGTTTATTCATCTGACCTACTTCACTACCCTCTGAACCTATCTTACCTTGTAGTCTACCATCATCAACATTGAATTTAAACACACAGTGAGCCTCCCTATCTGCTACATACAGGACTCTAGTTTTTTTGTTTACTGTCAATCCCCTTGGATATTTCAATATTCCTTTACCAAATGAGATGATTTCTTTAAATTTATCATCACACATTACAACACATTTTCCTAAGAAATCACTGTACACCATGTGACCATCACACATTAGATGCATGCTATTGACCTGTACATGTTGTGGTACCTGTATCTTAGCAACAAAAGAACCTGATTGATTGAACTTTAATATATCTTTACTACTACTAGATACTAATATGCATCCATCTGTATCTAACATTACATCTGTCACTTTATTTTCATTCATATGTTCTTTATAATCTGATATGTTACCAATGGTA